TCTTCTTCTTCTTCTTCTTCTTCTTCTTCTTCTTCTTCTTCTTCTTCATCGGGTATCATGTAACCTAGCCTGACCTGGGAGTTGCTATGATGATCTTGAACTTCAGACCCTCCTGCCTTTGCCTCCTAAGTGCTGAGATTACAAGCTTGAACCACCATGCTGTTTTATGCAGGGTGGGGGATTGAACTCATAGCCTCTCCGCTGCTAAGCAAACGTTCTGCTAACTGAGCTGTATACACTCCCAGCCCTCGCCTCCTGATTTTAGTTTAAATCTCATCTGTTTGTCAAACCCTAAATCACTTTCTGTTCATCCTGTGGCACCATCTAGGGTCCGGCCACCCCCACCCCCATGACCTTTCCTCAAGGCTGTCATCACTTTAAGAAAAATATTGCAAATGTTCTCATTAGAAGACTAGGAATTGTAAGCAGCCACAGTTTTCTGAGATTCAACAACATACCCAACAAAAGCAACACAGGAAAAGAGGGGTTTATCTGGCTCCCAGTTCAAGGGTGCAGTCTACCATGGTGGGGAAGGTGTGGCAGCGGGAGCTGGAGGCGGCTGGTCACACTGCACCCACAGTCGGGAAGCAGAGCAAGATGAATGCTAGCGGTCAGCTGGCCTTCTCAGTTTTTCATTCAGTCCAGGACCCCACCCTATGGGATGGTCCTGCCCACACATTTCAATTAACCTGATCTAGAAAGTAGACATGCCCAGATTTGTTTTATTTCCATGCTGATTCTACATGTCCTCAAGTTGATAGTCAAGATTAGCCACCAAAGGTGGAAAAAGCCACCGTGATGATCAGTATCCATCCTCACGTCCTTGGCGCTGTCCCCTGACACAGCAGCTGGCCAGAGTCCTTCCTCTCCTACAGAGTGGGTCTATGCTCTGTCCTGCTATGTGGATGGCTAGGTTTGTTTTCAAATAGCACTGGGCTGTCTGCTCTGCCATCAGGGGTTTCTGTCCTGAAAACAGATAGACAATGTCTGAAAACCCAGTGCACAAGACTGGTGAAAATTGAGGCTTCTCTCCAGGTTTCTTGTTCTAGGGAAGATGAGTGAACTTAGGTTAGCCTTTGTGTGCACATGTGTGCATACGTGTGCACATGTGTCTGTGTGGAAGCCATGGTTGGTCTCAGGTGTTACTCCTCAGATACTGTCTACCTTGGGTTTGTTGTGGTTGTGTTTGTTGTTTGTTTTGAGGCAGGGTCTCTCACTGGCCTGGAACTTGCCCAGTAGACTTGACTGGCCAGCCAGCAGGCCCCAGGGATGCTCCCGCCTCTGCCTCCCCAGCGCTGGGATTGCAAACATGCTTCACCTCACCCCTTTTCACATGAGCTCTGGGAATTGAACCCAGGTCCTCCTGCTTGAGAGGCGAGCACTGTCTGGACTGAGCCATCTCCCCAGCCCTGGTGCTGTGCATGTACCAACTCAGCTTGTTTCCAGTGTCTCACTTTCCCAACCTCCCACAGCTCTCGACACACCCCACTCCTCCCTGGAAAGTTTGATCTTTTGTCTCCAGCGTGAGCAGAAGGGAAGAGAGTCCCTCTAAACCAGGCTGGTCTGATCTCAACCTCCAGGTTGTGACCCTTTGACAGACTTCTGTCTCCAAAAACATGTAGATTATGATCCCTGAGAGCAGCAAAATGACAGTTATGAAGTAGCAAGAAAAGTAACTTTATGGTTGGGGGGGTCATCATTACACGACAAACTGCGTTAAATTAAAAGGTTGCTGCATTAGGAAGGTTGGGGACCACTGAATAGAAGGTGAAGAAAGGCAGGGCTCTCTGCAGGAGCGGATCTTTTTTATTTTCTTCCTGCATGGAAGAGTGAGCAGAGCGAAAGAAAAACAGGTGAAGAGCGAAGCAGACACCAGCAATTAAATAACCACAGTGAAAATGATAGTGGACGGACGTGCCAGGACTCGCGAAGGCCAAGGGCCTGCACGCTAGCCTACTGGCGTTGCTAGAGCTATGGTTCTCCTTAATTAAAACTCATCTCTCAAGCAGCAGAAATTTTATGGAGCATCTTTTGTTAGATAGCATTCTGGTTCTCTGTATTTGCATTTTGAAGCTATCTGGCTTTTAGAGACCTAAACACATATTTTCTCTGGTTTAGCAAGATTGTAAAGCTGCTTGCGTCCAGAGAGCTAAGCCCTGGGCTAAACACCAGATGGATTTTGAATACATCTAGATATCACTGTGTGGTCAAAAGCAAGTCACAGGCGACCTTCCCTCTGTTTGGACGGAGTGCCACCTGCAGGCCTCCACTTTGCTA